CTTCTTTGGTATGACAATATAAATCAGATCGGGAGAGGGTTGGCCCCCAATGCTGTAAAAGCGCCAGAGTGAGACATTAGAGATTAGTTGAAGTAAAATGTTCCATTTTATTACCATAACTTTAGAAATCAATACTATATCCAGAGAGCATCACTAAGCCAGAATCATACATTTTCATCTGAAATCATAGCGCACACTAGAGTTTTTGAAAGAAGCACTTTTACTTGTCTCATTGTGCCATGCCACACTACTATGTGCGGCCTCTCCAATGTCCTACTGAGATGAAAAGTAAGAATGAAAGGCAACTAAAGAAGGACTAACATTTAAAAAGCACACACTTATTTATGGATAAGATATGTTCTATCAATGCACTAGTTATCCAACTTGAAAGTTCAGCAGACATTGGATGTCCCCTGGAAGCAAGTGATTTTGAAGATGCATTTCACACGTACAAATGTGTATAAAGCCCACATATGCATGCTGTAATTATCATCATACAGACAGACTGCAAAATAAAAAACCTGTTATGCTTATACTGTCTGTTTTTCCTGACAGGTTTGAAATGTTGACAATCTTTAGTTTATTAATAGCACAATATTATTGTTTTCTTTAAAAATGAAGCACTGAGAAGCCATGACTCGCTAGTGTTTTGAAATCCATCTGATTGGTGGTTACAAGGAGGTTAATACTAGTATTGTCTATGTTATGATTCTGCTCCTCATCTCATGTGGCTTTTTTATATACAATATAAATACACTCCTGGTACTCACTAGCGAACAACAAAATTAGAACACTGACAGACTGAGAAATGCTGTTTCAGAGGATGGAAACAATAGCCTATGGAGCTCAAATACTTGAGTAGTTACATCAGAGAATAATAAAAAATATTTTTCCTGATCTAGCATTATTTGCAGAGTCCTGGATGACTAATCAAAGAAGCATTGGTATTAAATCAGTTAGAACAATTGAAACCTAGCACAATGTGTCAGGAGTAGATGAATTTAACCTTGCAGTATTCAAGGAATGGAAATGATACCCTGGGGCATATAAGAGAAGAACATGGATAGTAATTATCTAAAAGGAGATAACCAGCATGGATTTAGAAGGGCAAGCGCCTGCCTAACTAATCTACTTGACCTTTACCATGAGGCTAAAGACAAGGTTGATAATGGCTCTGCATATAAAACAGTTTATTTGTATTTTCAGGAGGTCACACTGATATACAGGAAATAGAGGGAAGGGAGAGAGATCTGAAAGTGGAAACATATCTGGTTTAAAAAAACCTCTGAAAACTCATACTCACAAAGGACCCTATGAAAGGCTATGTCATCCAATGTAATATAGTTGTGTAGGGAGAACAGGTGCAATAAAATCACGGTAGTATAAAAACACCTCAGGGTTGCCTCAGAGCGAGGTGAGTGCAAAGCAATGCAACCAGCAGTCAGCGGGCCTGGTTTTAGTGAGAATGGAAGGTCTAAGAAAGTTTGCCTAAGTGTAGGAAAAGTTTTTATGCCCACAGGGGATCCAACATGCTCTAACATACTAATTAGCTGTGGTATGGCAAATGCCTGTTATGGTAATCAAAGAGATAATGCAAGGCAGCAGATAACATTAATGCATGGATAGTGGGAGTACAAAAATGGTGTTGAGGGTAAAATGTCGCGTGCAACTCACCATCAAGGAAAAAAGGATAATGGAATCATTTTAGCTAGAGACTGAAAACCTCCATTACAGGTCCATCATCCTGCCAGAGCCAGATCATTCCTTACAGCATTTATTCTAGTCTTCTTTTTTTGCTACCCCTGTCAGAACGCCCTTTCTGCAGTGGAACTGCAGCGGTTTTCCTAGGTCAGGATAACCTGCAGTCACAGAGGATGGGGGACATCTTGGCCCATAGTGAAGAGTCTGACCCATACCCACTGAAGTCAATGGGAGTCTTTCCATTGACTATAATGTTTTCTTGGCTCAGGCCCCTAGTGAAGTTTCACTTAACCATAATTGAATTCCACCATGGTAGGAACATTCATCACCAGTTCTTCCCACTTCTGCTTTGCCTAAGTAGAGGAGGAGGGGGAGGAGATAAGAAGTTGCTACCCCCAGGGGAGGCAGGATAAAGAATATTCTCTGGCCTGGGGTACAGCAACAGCAATTTCTGAAAGGAGGATTAAGGGTGGCAATAGTAACCTATCCTCAGAAATGAAGAGAGGAGAAGAGTCATTCGGGTCTTCTGTTCACTCCTGCCCCAAGGAGGCTGGCTGAAGGCAAAGGGCTCCTCTGAGATAAGGCAGCCACTGTGACAATTCGTTTTTGGGTTAGATTGTCCAGTCATTAGTCAGAGCAATAGCTCATTATAACAACTTGGAAAATTACCCTACCTCTACTCTGCCACCAAATTTAGCTCACCTGGCACCCTGATCACATCCTTACCCAGCTGAATGGGAAGAAAAGTGGAGGAAACAGGTTAGATAGCCATCGAGTAAGCTGAACCTGGGAGGAACCGGAACCTGGGAGAAGAGCCTAGGAAGGAGGAGAGAAGAGGGAAGGGCATGAGCTGTTCCAGAGTTGCCCCGTATTGAGCCACCATGACAGAAAATGGAGACTGCCATGGTAGAAGCTGGCGCACACTGCCTGGGAGAAGTGCTGGTATTTCATATGGCATGATTTGAGAGTTTTTCTCTGTGGTCTTGTTTGCACATACCTCGTTCTTCCCTGAAGAGTCACTGTCACATAACTCTATGTTCCTCTAGTGAACTGATAATATCTATAGCCAACTCTCCTCCACATATTCGCAGTTCTCCTGCTCCACCCTCAGGGGCAGTTCGGCTACTGAAATATACCAGCATCCAGCTGTTTGATCAGAGCAGACAAAGGGAAGAGATGGTGTGACATGCACACATGCAACCCTGTGAACCAAAACCACCACCACTAGCTCAATGTTAGATTTAGCAGCCTTGAGAGAGGGTCCCTTTATAGTAGTCATCTTGCTCACAAGTTTACAAAGGAATTATGAATGGTTGGACTTTGACTCTAATCACTGTTTGTAATGGGTCCAGCACAAACACATCACATCACCATCCTTCCAATTTTTTGTTTCAGAATTCATTCTACATATTGTGTGTTTTAAGGTTGCTACAGGAAGCCAGGAATCATTCTAAAAGTACTGAAATATAGAGGTATCCACGGTAAGCACCCGGAAAAGAGGTAAAGTGAAACTTATATTCATAAGCAAATAAATGTCTTTGAAAAGACATTCATCCATAAGCGTAAATGCTCTGTATTTATAAAAGAAAAAACAACCTCTTAAAATTGTTATGTGTTTGATCATCCAAACAGGATCAGGAAATACATATATACTGCATATTCCTAGTCTGGAAATACATACATACTAAGTCATTTTTCTCCTAAACTTAGAAGGGTGGCAGAGCATACAACTTTCTGATCTTTATTTTCAAGTAAAGCTGGTTAAACATTTGTTTGTATTTTGAATGAATTCACCTTGTCCCTGATTGTTCTCCTTTTGTGTTCTCCCACCACGATGACTCGAGTTTTACTGACACAGTGTTTGCAGTAAGCAAATTTCAAGGTCACATGGACTCCATTTTAAGGCCCAGATCCTGCAGTTAAATCCATGAGCGAGAACCTCCATATGCAGCCCACATGCAAGGCTGGGCCTGAGCTCATGCAGCCAATTGCAGAATTGGAGTTGAAATTTTTTAAATGCAAGCATTTGCACAGGAAGTGCTCTGATGTTTATCCAGTGTGGGAGCAGAAACATGTGGGAGCATGCAACTCACCCAAGCAATGAACTAAGCAACATAGTTTGGACTTCAAACATTCATGATGAATTCATAGAGCAATACATTGTGAAAGATATAAACTCCATTAATAAATGAAGATGAGCAAACTGTAATCTGTTCATGGATATTCTGAGAGCAAAGAAGAGAGAATTCTGGCTAATAAATTATTTGCTCAGCTCTAGCAAACTGTAAGAGAACTTCTGCCCCGCTCCTACTAATATTCACGCATGTGAGCAACTCAATGCGCCTGAGTCATCCCGTTCAAAGGAGTTTTGCTTGATTTGCAGCACTGTTAACTGCTGTGATCTCATTCCTAGTAGTACTGTTTTCAAAACTTTTACATTTGGAAACTACAGAATGCAAGATGATGATGATGATGCCCATTGATATGCAAGAAAGTTGACTTTGCAAGCGATACTAATGGGCCTTAAAAAACATTTGGCTGATTTTCTTCTCATGTTGACGTAAATGAGGAATAATTTAGTTCACGCTTTCCCTCTTCCCCCTTTACATTTCTCACATTGCTTCCTCTCACTTTTTGGAGGAGCTCCCGAAAAACATTCACAAAGCCACCTCATTACCCTTCCTCCAAATCCCTCCTTAAAACTCTCCTTTGTCATGATGCTTACAAAAAACTTAACAACCATTATGTTGCTGGTGTACCAAGACCACTGCCTAATACTGTCTCATTGTTTCCTTGTACACCCCCATCTGTCTTTCTGTATCCATCTTCTATCTCTTGTCTTTTACTTAGATTGTAAGCTCTTGGGGCACGGATCATCTTTTTGTTCTCTGTTTGTTGGGTCCCGGTCCATGATGATTGGGGCTACTACATGCTTCCATAATCCAAATAATAAGTATTAATAACGTCATTGAAGTTATACTAGTGTGAAACCAGCATATGTAAGAGGAGAATCACATTCCTTGTGTGCAGAAATTCTGCTTATAGGCTGAATTTGTTCAGCTCATCTCTAAAGTTTAGACAAGGAATCTTGGTGATTTTTTACCATTCAGCCAACAAGATAGCTTGTTGAATAAGAAAGTACCCTAAGCCTCTTGTGCACAGCACCTTACAATGGAATTACTTATCACAACTATCATGAGGGATTGTTAGGGAGACAACGTCAGTGAGGTAATATCTTTTATTGAATCAACTTCTGTTGTGAAAAGTTTTGGAGCCACACAGAGCTCCTTCAGGTCTGGGAAAGGTACTCAGAGCATCACAGCTAAATGCAAGGTGGAACAGATTGTTTAGCATAAGTAGTCAGCACATATTCTAAAGGGCCATTCAAGGTAGAGGTGGCCCATTAACACCTTTGCAGTCATTGACAAAAAAGAGGGGACTAGTGGGTCACAGATTGTTGTAATAAGCCTTACATTCAGTGTCTCTCTTCATTCCATTGTTGTATGTCACCAAGTATTAAGGGGCCATTAAGAAAAAACAGGATAAGACTGAGCACTGGTATCTTAGGCCCTGAGGTTTTGTAGTTTTGAAACCTCTGCAGTCTGTAAATGTACAGTACACATATGGTACATATCTGTGGCCAACTTTTGCATATGCTTGTGTGTTTTTGGATGGTACTTCAGGGAACCCTGTGGCTTACAAAAGGCAACATTTTAAATGTAAAGAAGGAAAACAGATCTCCTGAGAGCTTGTTGCTTCCTGGCTGGCTTTTCAAGTGGGAAAAAGGCAAGACAAAGTTCTGCAGAGCATACTTCTTTAATAACACTTTTCTGCAATAATGTATTTTTTTATTAGACGCACAATGCCAGATGCAGCCTGCAGGAAGAGGATGCATCTCCAAAAGAAATCTCTTGACCAAAATCACTGCTGACCTATATATATATATATCAGTATAAGTGACAGGTCAGCTGTAAATTAGGTCAGAAGATTGCCATTTGCAACCACGTATGCCTAAGTAAGGTAACTTTTGCCAACTTAGTGATGTGCAAATTGGTGTGCAAAATTAGAATAATTTGCATGTTAAGCGAGAGACAAAGGATGAAGCAACCAACATCAAGATAAGATAAAGCAGCCCTCAGTTCTTAAAACTATGCTGCACCATCCTCCAACATCTCTGAGGCCAAATGCAACTCTGCTGTAAGCAGGCACATATCTGATATTCACCTGCTTATGCTAGAGGCTGAACTGCATTCCCACAGAACATCTAAGGGCACGTCTTCAGTGGCAGCACTTTAACGTGGCTTGTGTAGTCACAGCATAGCGCTCCCAGCGCTCTAAAAAAAACACCTCCACAAGAGGAATAGCTACCAGCCCTGGGAGCGCAGTTCCCGGTGCTGGTGCACTGTCTAATACTGCCACGTTACAGCGCTGAAACTTGCAGCGCTCAGGGGGGGTGTTTTTTCACCCCCCTGAGCGAGAAAGTTGCAGCGCTGTAAAGTGCCAGTGTAGACAAGCCCTAAAAGGTGTAAGTTACACTCATTCCACACATCCACTATGTGCCAAATTAGTCCAAGTTACAGGGACTGTAACTTGTTACTGCTTTCTGATTGACCAACAAGCCAAGGAGCCTCTCACCCTCTGCAGTGAATATCAGGAGTAACTTCTCTGAAGCCAGTGGAAGTCCCTGGGTGTAAAACTGCTATGAGAAGAGGATCAGTAACCACGGTGTAAATTAATTACACCACCATGTTATCACTGAATTTGGCACAGTCTTTTGGTGGTTTTTGGCACTACCTGTTAATTTGTGCATCTGATATAGACAGAGCACTGAGACAGAGTTTCTCAGAGAAAAAAAAGTTTGTGATAAGTTTTATGCAAGTACAGGAATATGAGCATGCTAAGGACTGCCATTTGGAAAAGGATCATAACTTCTGATAACCTCCTGTAGTGCACAGTGTGCTTTTGAAGCAGAGAAAAATAATAAGTTTGGACAGTTTTAAGATAATTAATTATTTATAAGTTCTCTTTCCATTTCCGTGATCTCTCAGCTTAGTATCTTTCTCCTTGCTACGGCTAGCCTAGAGAGATAATGAGGAAAAAAGACTTGATGGGGTGCTTTTTTTGCATTGTCCAGAATCCCTTTGCTTGTTCCAACTATAAAGTACATTCTGATGCTGCCTAAGGAAATCTTAACTCTACATTTTGTATCATTGTTTCATATGGGTTACACAGTATAAAATTTTTTAATCTCCATGAGGCTATAAAAAACAGATGTCTTCATCCATAATGAGTAACATTGAATTTAAAAGTGTGGCTATGCTAATATTAAAGAGCAGATCATGCCTCATGGACCACATGGAGAATTGGAAATATCTGTCAATACATTACAATACATTACAGAGGCTGCTGTAGAAACCAAAGATGCTCATGTCACTCAGCAATGGCGTTTTACCTGTGTAAAACCAGTGTAAGGAAGGAAAATCAAGCCCTGATTCTATAAAACTGTCCTTATGGATAAAGAACAAATGGATAAAGTACACCAGACACTTCAATATGACTCATCAGTAACGAGTGAAATTCTGGCCTACTGAACTCAATGGAAGTTTTGCCATTAATTACAATAGGGCGAGGATCTCACCTGATGTTTTTCAAAGTTTTCACTTAGATATTAAGTGGACGATCTTGCTTAAACTGGCAATATAAAGAATTTCTGATTTAGTCCGGCCTCGGTATCACAAAGGGTCTCTGAAGACAGGCATACTATGTACAGCAATATTTTCACACAAAGGGATCAGATAAAGATGAAGCTGTAGCTTTATCTCCAAATTTCCCTTGTTTTTAAAATCAGGCCCTCGTGACCATTTTTATTACATGGATTTTAATAAGAAGCAATTGGGTAGGATAAAAACCATCAAGGAAAGCAAAATATTCCACAGACACTGGGTAAATTCTATAAATCCAGTGCAATACAAATCAAACTATTACCTATTTTCCATTGGCAATAGCTGTGAGCAGTCATGTCAATAAAAGTACAGAGATGACCTTTGATGACATTGTTTCAAAGAGGAATAGGCACGGATCTGAGAATAAGTGAGAATTTGGATTTGGGACCTATCACCCTCAGAACTGGGATTAACCTTCCCTGGCTGCTTGTGCTTGCTCTCCTTCTCTACACCCACCTCTTCCCTGTACAGTGGGGAGTGGGTGGAAAGGGGGTTTCTTCTCCCTCTACAGAGGTGACAATGAGGTGAGCAGTGGAACAATATAATAAAAAATAATCTTTAACTGAAATGTCAATAATTCATTTGAAGCTATTGCCATAGCAAGCACGTACTGGGTCTTTAGTGGCATACTATCTCTATGCACCTTAACATGCTATTCTGTTTGCCTGATTTGGGTAGTAAGAATATTATACATGATGCAGAATTCCAGAGCAAGAATTGTTTGAGTCATAGTGTTTTGTATTTAACAGCCCTACAGTCTAAACTATGCTTATGGCAAAGGTGTGTAGCCAATTTTTATATATGCTTGAAGAGGACCAAACTTTATAGTATCTTTTAATAATTACAGTCGTCCCAGGACATTATTCACAAACACACTAAAGCATATGCAAAAGTTGGCTCAATACAACTACATCATGTTGTGTACATAAAATGCATTGACTTAAGGGTTTTTAGAAAAATCATTATATCACTCTTTCCACAGTACACACAATTCAAACAAATACAATTATATATGCTGACATGCTATTCCATGCTATGACAATATGTAGTATTTCTTATTACACAAGTCCCCTGCAAATCTTTTGAAATCAACTATATGCTGTACTACGTGCAACGCAAGACATACTAAAAGTCCACATCCTCTTGGTTTCCAAAATGAAACATTTTGACCTTTGTCAGGTTACAAAATCAGCCTTCTCTGAATTGATTTTTTCTTCCATTAAATTACTGAACTGATTCAATTCAGTTTAAAAAAACCCAAGAAAGTAGAGATGTAGTTGCATCTTCAGTTAACAGCTTGACGCCGCTAGGACTCTGCAAGTGATGAAGTTGTCACCAGAGCTTTGCACGGGATAGGGGTCTGCCTGAGTGCATCACATTGCATCACGAATTTGTAAATGGCAGAACCCAGATGGTCTCCATTCAGGATGAAATGCCCAGGTCTCTCCTTTTCAGATACACCCCTTTGGAGAAGCCCTATCGATTCAACACATAATTAGAGACCCTTTCTATAGAATTCTATAATATAGTTAGAAAAAAAAACCTGTAGAATGGTCAGCCTTAAATTTAATCAGTGTATTGACTGATTTCTACAGAACCCCACCACATTGCTATAGAACCCTATTGGTTTAGGCTAGGATTTTAAAAGGAGCTTACTGGAGTTAGGTGCCCAATTCCCTTTGAAACTCTACTGAGATTTGGCCACCAAATTCCCTTCAGTTGCTTTGAAAAATCACATTCTGCACTGACATTTAATGCTTTTTTTCCCAAAAGCAGAGCTTCTGATGCTTTACTGAGGATCCAAAAATCCATGTCCTTTGTTTATATAGGTTAAAACAAAGGCGCATCTAATGAAGCTGATACAGGCTGTGCACTTTCATGAATCAGTCTATTTTACAGGTTCCATCTGCTCTTAAATGCTTCCCAGCGAACAAACAATGTGTCACTATATTGCATATTTCCATTGCACTATCCCAAACACACTTAAGCTGCTGACAGATTAATGCTTAGTTCACTTGTGGCATACATTCTTGGGTTCTTACACATGTTCTTATAAGGAAATGGAACTCAATAAGCACTTAATCACAAGTTGGGGTAATGTTATTGTACTGAATACAATGCTCTAACTTTGTTTCAGATACAGACGAAGGTATCTCTATATAAGCCATTGCTGTCACTAGTGCCGCCAGGGACTCTGGAAATCGAATAGCTTTTGTAAACCTTGACTAAACAAAGCCAAGTGAAAATTTGCCAAAGGGTAGCTACTGGAGCCAGGAATGTCAAGGTGAGGAAAGTTCAGAAGTCACCACATGAACTGTCTGTTCCGTATACTGAAATGAGGTTTGTTTGGCCTAAACAGCATCTACTTTGTTCTAAACAACCCAATATAACTGGACCTCAATGGAGTGTGTACTAATACAATGATTGGGTGAATTATTGGGAGATTGATAAAACCATTGCCCTGAGCAATCTTCCCTGATGGGGATCACTTATCCAGTGAAAAGGCAACAACCACAGAAGCCTGCTGCATGTGGATATTGTGTGCAGCGTGAATACTTGCATTCATGCCCATTGAGACATGTTGTTCCACTGAACATTTTTCGACTAGATCCTCATCTGATGTAAAACGGCATTACTCCATTGAAATCAATTTGTACCACCTGAGAAGCTGGCCTTTTGTATTAATTTGAAGTATTTCTTTAACTAAAGCACACTCCGCTTGTGAAATATTATTTTAGAAAAAAGTGAACTTGAGCAAGCAATAAATCATTTTCTGAGACATTTTCCTCTCCTTTCACATCACTTTTAATGTGATGAAAACCTAGGAAAGTTATTAACCAATTTTTTTGTCCTTTGGCATATTTTTTTTGCCACCATAATCAACTGTCTTTCATGTGTGAAATGAACTACATTTATATGCCACTGTTCCTCTATATACTCCGCTTCACTTGCCATACAAATCTCCTTCTAAAAGTGAAGCAAATTCTAGCCCCAAAGAATCTGAACAGACACATCAGAAACAATGCACTCTGCTCCAAAACCAGCCCTGATTACATACTGAGACATATTCACCAATGGTGAAGTCCTGACCCCACCGAAATCAATGAGGATTTTGTCACTGACTTCAATGCACCAGGATTTCATCACAAAAGGACACTGACTTCCGTGGAGTTGCAACCATTGATTATAACAGTGACTTGGGCCCGGGGAATTTCCATATGGGGACATTACAAACTAACTGGTGTTAGAAAATACCTTTTCCCCACTCAGTTAATACAGACCATGTGCTTCATTTTAATATTGTCAAGAATTAGGCCATTGAATCCATCCAGAGATACATGGAACAAACTGATGTTGGGTGGTGATAAATATTAGGGTCAAATTGTGTTTTGGCCTCTTCTAAGGTATGCGAGGGACCAAAGGAAGCAATGAGTGGTACAGTGTCAAAAAGCTACGCACAATGAGAGTCCTAGTCACCACAAGTGGTAAGGGAGGAACAGGCTATGCCCTCTGCACCAGCTGATTGAGCCAGGTGGGTGCAGTGTGAAGCACACACTGCTCAAGAAGATGCAACAGCTGCCCTCTCCTATCCTCCTCAAAGTACCAGGAGATGTAGCTCCACCATGAAACTGGAGCTGGCTGGGCTCTGCATTGTCCCCAGCGTGGGGCAGGGACTTGAACGCACTACTGAGTCTATAATATTTTGAAAATCTCCATTTGTCTAGAAAACAACATACTTCCATTTAGTTCATAGTCTTGTCTATGCCTTATTCCACAGAGAGCAGCCTTGCACAACTTGCTAGCTAATGTGCACCTCTTGATAAATGTCCAGCATAGGGCTACCATACATCCGGATTTTCCCGGACATGTCCGGCTTTTTGTTCTTTAAATAGCCGTCTGGGGGGAGGGGGGGGGGGAGGATTTCTAAAAATCTAAAAATGTCCGGGATTTCCCCCCAGTCGGCTATTTATAGACCGAAAAGCGGTGGCCAAGCGCCACTCGGCAGCCAAAGCCCCTTCCGGCTCCCCCCATCCCCTGCAGCCTTAGCACGCCGCCCGGCCCCGCAGCTGTCCACCCCCTCCCCCAGCTCACTTCCCCCTCCTTCCCTCCCCTGAACGCTCCGCCCCCCTGCTCCTCCCCCTCCCCTGCTTCCTGCGAATCAGATGTTCGCGGGAAGTCTGAAAACAAGCAGGGGCAGGTGGGCAGCAGCAGGTAAGCTGGGGCGGAGGGGGACGCGAGGGGAAGGGCTCTGAAGAGGCGCAGTGCGGCCCAGTCCGGCCCTCACCGAGCGGTTCCCTCCGGCCCCGGCCAAGCGGCTCCGTCCCTGGCTGGCCCCAGCAGCTCCGGCCCAGCTTGGCTCGGGCCCCGGGGCACTGGCCCCGACTGAGCGGCGCTAGCCCAGCACCCCCAGCCCAGGCCCCAGTGGCTCCGGCCCTGGCCCCAGTGGCTCCGGCTCGGCTCGGGCCCCGGGACACTGGCCTCGGTTCTGGCCGAGCGGCACCGGCCGAGCACTGCTGGCCGCGGCAGCTCCGGCCCCAGAGGCTCTGGCCCGGCTCGGCTCCGGCCCGACCCCGGCCGAGCACCTCCGGCCCGGCCACAAGCCCCGCGACCCTAGCCAGAGCTCTGGCCGGAGCGCAGCCTGATTCCTGAGCTCTTGCTAAAGCCAGCCCTGGTCAGGGGACGGGGGGGAGGGGAGGGTTGGATGGGTCAGGAGTTCGGGGGGCCTGTCAGGAGGGCAGGGGTGTGGAGAGGGGTTGGGACAGTCAGGGACAGGGAGC